TTTTGCCCTACTTTTTAACTCCATTCAGGGTTAGTACATTTAATCTACACTAATAAGAAAACCTTCATTAGTACGTAAGTCATGCTTGTAAAGATATGTGAGTTACTGGTTTATTACTGCATATAATTATAGATCGGCACAATGCTCTCTGGCTTACTATAAAGCATAATTTCGTCTCATTGAATGATGAAAGTAACATTTAAATTACGTTTCCATTTAATACTTTCCCGTTTCATCCTAGTTATCAATAAACAAACAAAACACTAACACGTTACTCAACAGTCCTTCTAAATGTTTCTTTTATATGAGCATGAGCGTTAAAATTAGTTTGGAATAAGTTTCAGAAAAAAAACGAGAAGTAAATGTATAATTTTATAGAACATTTAGACCTTGATACATTTTTTTTTGAAAAAATCTTTAAATCTGCAGAACAAAGCACTGATCACATTATTTCGTGAACATATGTAAGAACAATGTTTCTTTTAATTTCTATCTTAATTAATGAGTTGTTTTTTCTTGAAAATTTCCAATACAACATATACAGAAATCCCTTGATCATAATGATATATCGACATAGATGTTTAAGTATAAAATGTATCGTTCAACAGAAAATACACAATACATTCTCTTTAAAATTACTTGTTAACCATGAATAAGTAAATTACAATGAGGTAATAATTCGTTTGAAATTCATTATATACATTTACATCAATTGATTTATTTATAAGTTATGCCATAAAATACTACTAATCTATTCTTGTATTTTTTTTCACAAAAATCCATTCATATATTAGTTATTTCTAATTGTTATCGTTAACTTGCTTAAAACAATTCCTTTTTTTTTAAACAGGAAAACTATTCTTCTTTTCAAACGTTCTTTTAATGCAACATCAATATATAATCATAGGTTGTATCTTGTTAAGGAATAGAATAATAATAATTATTATTATAACAATAATAGTAATATGTAGAGTAAAGGGAATATAAATTCTCTGTAGAATGTAAAAAAAAAGTAATTTCAGTGATAATAATGCAAAAGTTAGCATTTACTGAAGTTTTTTTAATTTTATTTAAAGTTTGAAATTTATTTGTTCACATAAACTCAAAGAAAATAATAAAAATGGTTGGTTTTAGGCTTAATAGGTTGGTTGGTTGGTTGGTTAGTTGATTGTCAAAAATGTCATAACTATCATGATCACTATTAATGCTTGTTTGTTTTTCTTTAAATAATATTAATTATATTAGATAAAGTTATGGAAGACTGAACAAAGGGAGAGGGAAAGATGGGGAAAAAAACAAAAGAGAGTGTGCGTAAAAACTCAAATGTGAAATGTAAAATAAAAACAGAAACATTTTATCAGATTGTAAAATTGTCCTAGAAATAGAATATAACGATAGAAATAAATGTTATTATTGTTATTACAAGTGTTTTAATCAATCTCTATTGTTTACGAGTGAGATTTCTAAAAGAGGAAAGCAATACTATTTTAGTAAATATTTATTATTAACCTTTTAGGTATAGCTTTTATTTTGAGGATCATAATAATTATTATTGTTAGCAATGAAATGCCTAATATACTTTATTCTGTCTCCATGTAAAATAGCCGTTAGAATTATTTGCCCACCTTTATATCACTTCTCCAAAAATAGTATATTTGATTCATATAGAAGCCTCAAATAATCACACATAAGAGACCCATGTAACGTTATAACATTTGAAGTATTTATATAACGAATAAAAAAAGGTTAATAATGAAAATATCTACAAACGCATTTATTAGTACTGTTACAGCTGAAGAGAAAGATGAAAGTTCAAAATTCACCCAAAATGTCTTTATTTAGAAGTGTGATGAATATCCAAAACAAATTTGAATGTACAAGATAGTGTGAAGTGTACAATCAGATATGAGGTGAATTGTTAAGTGGATAAGTCTTTTTGTCTATGAATCAATATGTTCATCTTTTTAAGTACTTAAATATATATGTATTATGTATTCTGTACAAACACATGTATCTACGAAACCTTTTTCTAAAAAATGTTACGATCAGTGTGTTGGTTTTATTTAAAATAAAACAAAACATTGATGTCAATAATTCGAAGTACTTAAAGTAATATCAAATTATTTGTAGTATCATTTACCACTAGCTTTCTTGAACTCGGTGAACCTTGACAAAGAGCGAATGTGCAAAACAATCAGCTCACAAAGGTTAGTGTTGTTCTGGTGTTCTATGTAACTCATTAGATCAAACTACCTACTGGCTTTGTTGACAACAATACTGTTTATGGCGTTATACAGTCATAACTAACGTTATAGATAAGCATCACGCTACATCGGAATTTCAATAAATCTTAAAATGTTAAACGTTTGATTTCATTCAAGTTGTTTAAATATTATGAGCTTGTTGTGAAACATAAAGTTTCTAGGTTCAGCCCCAGAAGTACTGACTTCAAGTGAAAACCCACTGAATCATTTTAAAATAATATCGATACTTATGGTTATTAATACAAAACAAATGTCCTTTCTGTTGTGCGGAATAATAATTTTTCGTGAATTTATGTGTATTATAGGTTTACTGACTTTGTATGTGGGACACGGTTAATGAAATTTAATACGACTGTTAATTTGGTCATTTAAGTGTATCTTTTTGTATACAAATAATGTTATTCACTGAAATGTTGAAATTAATAAGAAAACACAGTAAAGGATAAATCATCAATATTTCCCCAAAGTCCTCACAGATAAATAGTAAAGAAAAATATTTAATTTGTTATACTTATGATGTGATAGTTATTTAATATCAAATTTAATAGTAAAAACTCATATTAAATAAGCTTGATAGTTGTCAAAGATAAACACAACACAATCATTTGTTATCAACTATTGACAAATGTTATGTTTGTCTAATGGTTAGTGGCAACGTCTAAGGCGGCTGACGTGAGTTTGAATCTCGTAAAAAGTATCAGTTGTATTGGGATTCTAGGTACGCTTTCATAGTGAATCCCAACCAGTATGAAACCTAGGTTTAGTGTTTCCTGTAGAATACTTCCAACTATCAAAGAAGTAAACTGTTTGTATTTGTTTCATAAAACGAAAATTTGCATATCTTGCCATAAGCTTCAATCTTTACAGTTTTATTGCCACTAATTTAAGATGAAATCACTGTTAGTGTAACTAAAATGTTCAAAAGGATTCTCTTATCTATGATCAAAATTTAAGTGATACTTTTTTATCACCTGTAAATATTACAGTGGACTGTTGTTTCTCTATTTAAAATTATTTAAATTTGCGTAACTAAATTGTGTATGTTATCATTAGAAAATTTAAAACATTCCCAATTAGATTTAACTAAACTGAAAGCTACTGACGAATTTATAAAATTAAAAAGAAAGTTCAACTATGCTTGTAATTTTCTTAGATGCAAATGTGGTGTGCACTACTCATATACTTAAGTAGTATATAACGATAGTCAGTACGATAGAATGTAGTTCAGTAGAAGATCGAGAAGGAAAGAAGGGGAACAGAAAGCAATCGGTATGAAGATGTTGGAACAATGAAATCTGAGACAATGGACTAATACTTACAAAAGGAACGGTCAAGTTAGAGACAATTGATTGATACTTTGCAAATCAAATATTCACCGTATGGTTGTCAGATCTTAGTGAGATATTCTGTAATTTTGTGTTCAAATACATTCGATCCTCTCCACTCGTGTTCTTGTTCACTACACAATTAATAATAATAATTACTATTATTATTTTTGGACAAGTTTATTAATGCCAAAAATTTGTTTATTTTTTTGTTTCTCTCTGATTCTACATATTAGTGATAGTTGATATTTCCTTTTACGTTCCAGTTTATTTTTCCGTTAAAAATATGAGTTAATTAGTGGATCAAAGCGTTAGATAAGGAATACATAAAAGTATATTTCCATGATTTCTTATTATTCATTAAAGAAATTCCAACTTCTTTAAGTTTATCGGTATTTATTTTAAATTCCCCACCTTCATAAACACTTTTTATCCAAATAACCTACCTTTTTAACATTGTCTCGAAATTATTTCAAGAAAGTTGACTTTCCAACACATTAGATAATAGTCATTACGACACAATGTATTTTATAAAATTGTATATAGTTATATAGTTAAAAAAAATAATTATGTGTAAGTGGTTTCGAGATCGTCTTTGTAGTAGACTGTCTTGAGCTCAACCTGAAGGTCCTTGGTTTGGTCTCTGGTAGGATCATGGATGTCTCAAAATACGAAGAATCATCTATTTAGTTTTACATTTTATTTAGTGGTTCTTTAGTTGAAGTCACTTTGTGATTAACATTGTTTTAAATGTGAACTACTTTCTACAATCACTCAACCAATATGCATTTGTGTACAAGTTATCTTTTCTAAAAGACGGTGTCCTGTGGTATTAAAATTGTTCCTTTTTTACATGAACCTTAAACACTAATTCTAGTGATTTTCACCCATTGGTTGAAATAATTACCAAACATCTATTTCTTATTAAATGATTGAAATCTACTGGTAGGTTGTCGTAAACCTATGTTTCTCCAGTTTTGAAAGAACTGATAGTTACCGTAAAATTTAAACTCGCGCTACTTCTGTAATCCAAATATTTTGCCAAATTTACACACCGTCCAAAAATAATGTTCTCATTTTAATTGTTAACTAAATGTCTCTGGCCGCATTTGTACTTCAATTCTTAAGCACCTGGCCGTTAAAAGATATACGTATTATTATTTTGAATCTCAAGATAATTTATTAATAACTTGTATAAAAAATTTAAACAATGATATCTACATCATTTAGAGCCAATTGTCTGAAAGAATTTGCACCTTATCGATTTGCAACTTGTTCACCTGCACACTGATTTGCAAAAATAATTCAAACCATCACATTTTGTTTGGTCGGGTTTTACTATATATGGCTACACTAGGGTTTGACGTTTAAAAAAAGTTAAAATGAATTTAGATGCCAACATTTAACATACTCTTATATCTTCTGGTTTTAGTTCCGCAGCATTATTCTTTACAGTATTACCATTTCTGTCCCAATTTGAAAGTAATCCATAGTGAAATGATTGTTGAAAATTATTGCAATTCACGGATTGATGAGTATAATCATTAATATAATTATTAGTCCTAGTAGTAGTATTATCCACATTGTTACTTTTGTTCAATTCAGTATGAATATTTCTAAACATTTTATGGAATCCAGACGCAATGAAAACCTTGTCCTTACGAAATAATTCATTCACAGATCTTATTTCGCGACCAGTTAATGAATACAAATTTCTAATAGGATCATTATGCCAGCGTGAACCAAATGCTTCAGTTAGTTCGCACATTACTTGACCCAATGTGTGCACCGATCTTCGAGCCATGATAACCTTCAGTGTACAGAAAAACCATTTTAAAACAAATAGCAGTTATTACGACATTACACGACTTATTTATTAATTACATACAGAAATACAACAAATTATACTGTTTAAACAATTCATTTAATACTGAAAATAGAACCCAGCAAGAAATAGGTGTACATATAAGATAATATAAAAACTGTAATTGTTCAATAATTTGAAATTCTAATGAATAATTTACGATGGTTATTAAAAACAAAATCACATGGCTTAAAAACTTTAAACTACTGTATTTACTTATTATTGTAATAGCAAGAAGAAATAATATATAACACGTTTCGTATGTTAGTGTGTGTTCGTATAGTAACTGAGGATCATGGTGTGTGATAAATAATGATGGGCGTGTGCACACGTCTTATCATTCAAAAAGCGTTGACAATACTTCATTCAAAGACAAATTTCTTTATAAGTAAATGGTTCTAATGATCGTTTCATTTACGATGGTCCTGGTTACCTCTATATTACTGTATTTTCCTCTACGTTTAATTTTATAGTGTCTCGTTCACTGCTTTATGTCCATTTCTATCTATACATCTCAGGTTATCTTCAGCTTTTTACTCCTAAATACATTACACTAATATTTATTTGTTTCGTTCGCCATATGATCCCCTTCAATGAATCATTATTATTTATAATGATTTTAGATATACTTCTTGAGCAATAAAATTAAGATCTCCCATCTTATAGTTGTGTTTTTGAAATTTAGTCTTTCATATATTATATGATTTTCAACTAACTCAATTATTCATTTACTGATTATTAATATATTTCATTCATTACTGCAAAGTTCACTTTCACTAATTATACGTATGCGTACTAATATACATCCGGAATTCCACACCTTCCGTTTTTGTTAGCTTCAATTTTCTAAAGCTTCTCACTACCGGATGAATGTTAACATAATACAAATCGGGGTGCAAATAATTATTTCTAGTTAATATATCATTTTATTTGATAAATTACATGATAGATGTATTTTTTTGTTTTCTAAATGATTTGTGTTTGTAAATACTTTGTCACAATAAACTCATTTTAAAAGGATTATTTTACAGAGCTTTATACCAAATATCTTTGAACTTACAGTCAAACTTGTACGTCCTTTCCCACCAGGATTACAACGTACAACAGTTATTCTACGTCCGCCGTATTTTTGATTGTCAGTTGGTAAAAGGCGTAGTATTTTTGTTATTTTTATTGTGTTTTTATTATTCAACGTTTTATCAGTATTGCGATCATTGTCAATTAATTGCCCATCATAACCAGGGACACGAGAGACTTTACTAATATCTAATTTATTTGTGACACTACTGAAGTCCTTGGCATAAAAATTATGTTTTACAGATGAGATGATTTTTAAGTTCGTGCAAATATTATCACGATGGTTGATTTCAGGTAATATTATTTTCGATATGCGATTCGATTTTGTTAATTCTTTCACTTTAGGCCTCTTAAGTAACGGATTAATTTTGGACAAATCATTCATTTGTATGTTTAGATCTAAAATACACATTTAAAAAAGTATTCGCAAAATTGAATGCTTGTGAATAACTTAATGAATTATAAGTGATTTAAAAACGTATAACATTTTATATCATAACACTTGATCAAGACATATATAAATATGGTGTTTAGGAAGATGTGTTTCTCTCAGTCTGACACCTAGAGAAATGAATATCTGCTTTCTTCAACTTTAGAAGTTTTTGACACTTTCTATCCATGAAATCAAACGACATCGAAGTCACGGTATGAAGGTTTAGTGCAAATCATGATATTTTTGCCGTTAAGTCAAAACTCCATGGATTACATCTCAAACTTCAACTAATTCGTGACACAGCATAAGCATCATCTAGTGTCATGAAGAAATATCTTCTTTACCCTCAACCTGATGGTACTGGACTCTTTCCAGTATTCGTTTGTGGATGTGCAAAACCGAAGAACTCTAAACAGAAATGTACAACATAGCCACTGCTTTTCACTGTTCAATAATTCTCCACAAAATGTCAGTCGAATAGAAACTGCTTAATTTTCGAAGATAAACTTTGAGTGGGTTTCTAATAAACGCAAATGAATATATAATTCAAAATCAAAAACATTCGTTGACATTTTTATTTTATATAACATATTATGTCGTAATTTGATCACTCATTATTCAAGAGATCTGACTTTTCACTTTTCAAAACTAACTTGCTTTTTACATATCACATTTGGAAAAAAAACCTTGACTTTTAATGTCCATTTTCTTGCACTAATATTTTTGTAACATATGTCTATACAAATCGACAATAACTTTGAAAAATATTAAATAAAGTACACATAAACTACTATATTTGTGAATATTATCAAGTAGTAGGATTCACGAGGCTGGATCCACTTCACTTGAAACTCACCAAATGGATATGTGCATATCTTTATGTCGATGTTCATATTGGGATTCAGATTCAGAGTTTATTACTTTAAACATCAATTATTTATCCATCAAAATATGGTCTACATTTTCCTGCTATTGAGATTATGAACTTTAATCAATCAATCGATCTCTCCCAACAGGTCTACACCCTGAATGGATGTTTTTATATTATGAGGTGAAAAAGTTCGAGTAAATTTTTGGTAGAACTAGACTAACACCTTGAATTACACTAGCCTTCACAGTACAAATCTACCCTAAAACCTGTTTTCATGGGTAATAACGAGACATTTGCTTAGGTCACACGTTTACCAACACGTAATAATCAAAATCCAGTCACTGATATCAACAGTGGGATGATCCGAACCCTTATTATTAAAAATAAGTGGATAAAATAAAATTTCGAAAGATCAATCTAAGTGTCATAAATTTATTAGGAAAAAATGCTTTTAGATGTTATTGTAGCAAATATAATAAAAAAACTCAACTGAATACCACCTAGTTGTAAGGAAACTATACACCGAACTAAAAAAGATGATTACTTGGCTCTCACATACTTTTGGTAAACAAGAAAAGAAAAACAAGTCATAAACATACATACCAATAACAAAAAATTCGGAAACGCAAAACGACGAAATTATGTGGATTAACTAAAAGGGGGTGGAATACAATTTAAAAGATCAAGCGTTTATATGTAAATACGCTATCATTATGTTGATCAACTAGTACTTAATACAACAATATGAGGTACAGATTTTTTGGTTTGAGGCATTCATCAATAAACATTACCTTAAATATTATTTATTTCATGTCTTCTCATGAACTTCTTGAGACTTAAGATAATGATGGCCTATTCATATATGAATCTTTTACATTCTTCAGTTACAATCAAGATGAATTATTACTTTAAATGATAATACGATTGATATGAAGTAATTAAAACTAGTGACAGTAATTAATTATTGTTCGGTGAATTACTAATTGGGTGTTTGCTGACATCATAATAGATGAGGCAGTCAAAAAGAACAAAGATAACTACTTCTAGTGGGTGTGTAAACAACGTCTCAGTGTAACAGATGAGAAATTAGCTGATGATGGTGATTTTTTATAGTGGATGAGTTAAGAGCGAAATAACAGTGCATGAAATTGTAAATATTGTATCGTGTCTTCGGCAGTATATATCACATTCCTGTCAAAAATAGTCATTCATGCAAATTAACACCATGCTGATCCAAATAAGTTGGTACCTTTAGCGATACTATTTTAACTATCATTTTATTCCAATATACATAGTGACAAATAAAGTTGAACTTATCTCTCTAGAAATATAATTTAACTTTTTTCCAGAAACTGATCTTTTAAAAAGCAAAAACACTATGAGAGTCAATTTCTAATACCAGTTATTTACGCACAAACAAATATTTACAAAAACAGTTCGAAAAACACATATTCAGACATCATAATCAACAAACCTCTTTTAAGTAGTAAAGCACGAGTCATATATATATATATATATATATATATATATATATATAGTTTTATAGGTCAAACAATTCTATACATTAAAATGTTTAAAGTAAAACTAATGGTAGACATAATTCCGACGAACACAATACTATATCGCTGACCCTTACGTAGTGAAGCAAAATGTAGACGGTATTACTGTACATACTATTTTTCTAAGACTCTTGAAAAATGTGATTTATTAACAACATTTTGACGATTATTTCTCACCCCATACCAACTTTGCTTCCAAACTAACCTACTTTTTAATTTTATGGCCATTTAATTTAGTCGCTTTCTAAATATTCAATTGAATGTAATAAACATTTATGCCTCAAATCTAGTCCATTTTGCAATTATATGTGTGAAAATGACTCATTATATCACTGGTTTTTCGTATAAATACATCAAAAGTTCGTCAAGTAAAACTTAGATAAACACAAACGTCGGAAAACAAAGGTTACAAGAATTATTTAGACCTGAACTACATACCTATATCGTACTCGTGTCGAGTTGAACAGAGGTTTTGGGTCTTTAGACAAAGTTGGCAGCCATCAACCTGATACCACTAAACACTTTAGGAGAATGTCATTGGATTGTTTCGTGTTTTAACCAATAATTTGGAAGATAATTTAGAGTATTTCAAACTGGGATGCCTACTGCTACACTGCAAGTCCAAAATGAGTTTTATTTCTACGATGCCACAAATCACGATCAAAATAGTGCAAACAAATCTTGCAGATAGCTTTAATGATTGAGAAACTGACGACTGTTCTGAAACTTATTGTTTGATATGATCAATATTGAGATTTTAAGCCATATTGTGTGGTTGAAGTATATTGTAGTTTAATCAAGATACACTCTTTTCCTAGTTATCCGACAACACTATTTAGTCCTGCCCGAATTGTTGCGATTTAAAATTTATCTTTTCAAAGTGAATACTTACAGAACGATTCTGAAAATTCATTGTTTTTGCCCGATAACATTTTATTGTTTGGTTTGGGATACTCAAAGACATTGTCGAAAATCGAAATGTCATTTTTCAGAGTATTGTAATACTGTACTTCATAACGACATTTTCATTCTATGTTTCTGTTTTCACTTATGGTTAGTATAAGCGAAATATAACGTCAACTACAGCAACTCTGCAAGAATTCTGCCTTTTGCTACGTATAGGATACATACCATCAGGTTAAATTATGGAATTTCATATCGCTTGTTCGTCGGTTACTCGGAAAGAATAGTTTCTTGACCTTAAGTCGTCGTGAATCTTGGTCTTATTTTAAAATATGTTATTTCTACGAAATAAGAACATTTTGTAGTATTGAATGACTGCTGACATAAACAACACTTCCAGTTACTTAATTAAAAACATTAAAACTTTCACATAAGCACACGACTACTCTCAATGTAACATAACTTATCTAGATATACCGTATCCTTCAAGGAAAGCTTTGTGGCCGTCCAAATGTTTTGAACGGAAGCCCCATCATTCCCATCAACAACTATATTGAATCATCCCAACAGCTTATGAGTAAACTAAAAAACTTCATTGACTAAACCTGTCATAGAAACGACATGATCTTTTAAATACTATTAGATAACTTTATTCAAACTTACCACTGTGTATTTCAGTATGGATTTATCAGACATTACGAAGACTAAACGTGTCCGGTGACAATCCCCAAACTTTGAGGATTTCCCCGAAATTTCCCCAAACTTTGTGGGAGGCCATTTAACTTTTGGGATTTCCCAAAAATTTCCCCAAAGTTGGAATCTTGGGATAATAGGATATTCTACGTCATGACGGGAACAGTTTTCTAGAAGAACAACTGTACCATGTTAAATCAAAGATAAAGTTTTGTTGCATATATCAAGCACGATGATTTACCTTTGCAATGATAAATGAGGAATTTATTCAACGTTATAGTATCAAACTTGCAAGACAATATAACTAACCCTTTTCATCTGCTTTCCCCAGGAGGTATGAATTGTTCAATTTTTTAAAAGGTTCATTACCAGCGCATACATAAAGCCCACCACTACAAAGCTGTGATACTGAGTGCACAGAGTTTCTACCACGTGGAGTTAGAACTCTTTTGATTTTTTGGCCTCTTAGCAAAAACTGTGACAACTGGAGGTTCAAAAATTCTAAAAATCTTGTAAATTCGCCATACAATTTTGAATCAACGAGTATCAACTTCCCATGAAAAGAGGAATTCCCGTTTATCAAAAATATTATCCTTTTTACATCAGCTTTCTCCGAAAGTTTTATATCACAAATAAGATTGCCATTAAAAGTATCATGACTTTCATACATGAGCACTTTGAAGTGAGAAGATACTAGACTCAGTTGTTATCATTATTCACTATTGAAGTATACATCCCGAAATCTCAAAAAGAATCTGTAGTGTGCAAAAAGTGTTCTGATTGACCTAAACGTTTTTGACGCAGATAAACAAAATTTTCGAAATACATAATTATATTAGAAAAGGCGTAAAAGCTGATAAATCGTTTATTTTTGTGCTTCCTACAAATGATTTAACAGGAAAAATCACCTTATTAAGAGTACCGGAATAATTAAACATTAAGTTTGATGTTATATTCTGACTAGCAATGCCTTTCCAGTTTGAGCTATTTGAGCATGTAACAGCTTGTGGCCTAATGTCGATTCAATGTTCTGTTAATGGACGATGCAGCAGACTCATAACTACTTTATATTATTTTACTTCACAGTAATTTACAAGGGATATCAATGTCAAGCTATGGACAGCTTTTCACATTTAAGTCTGTGGCATTTCAAATTGTAATGATCGTGATCACCATAGTTCCTAAATTGATTATGTCAAATATAAATGAACCCAATCACAGGTGATGATGTCATTGAATAACTTCGCTTTCTCTACAGAACAATCATATACAACTACTGGAAGAAAGATGACACGTTGGCTGTCCTTACATGACAGAATCCAAAACCGTTCCTAAATAAACCCGTAGATTGTAAATTATACTTTCAATTTGTATGGCAGGACTGTTGAGGCAGTTTTAAAGCGAAAAAAGTATATCAAAGCTTGTTATTGTCTCATCCAGTACTATTTGAAATCGAGAAATATATGCATCTCCTTACATCAGTCAGAATATATTGCACGTAGGATAATAAGGAAGGTCTTCGCTACTTTGTTTTGTATAGCTCATCACTGACTATCCGTAGAGTTATTGAGAGGTCAATTTATAGCAGGACAAACCACGAATGTTATCTGCTAGAATTGAACTAGACAGTAAAATTGGGGGAGAGTCACTACAAACTCCGTATAAATAATCGCACGACACTGATTAGACTAGAAAATAAATAACTAGGCACAAATTCATCTTTACCGTGGTGTAATGTTTAAAAATGTAAGTTGGCTTACTAGGACACTCTGAATTTTTCACTTTTTGGTGCATGCTTCAGCCTCCTACATAGGCTATTAAGGGATTGCTGTGGACTCTAACAACCCCAAAAATTATCAATGATGGGTAATTGTCCACAGTGATACGAAATTAAAATTACTTTCATAAACGTCAACAGATGGAGGTAGTATGTCAGGCAATATACATGTGGCAATGATATGTTAGATGTGATGTTCAGTCAGACAATCATATCCGTGATGACAAAAGTAGCAAAAACCTTTTCTGCTAGCGGTCAAGTCACAGTTTCCCAACAACTGGTGGTTTTCACTCTGAATGTAAAGTATAAGCTATTTTTACGGCGTTGATCGGAAATATATTTAGATTTTTCAAACTGAGAAACGTTGTTTAAACCTTCTAAATGCTCTTAGTATAATAATTGTTTTCAATAAGATCTCACCACCAGATGCAATAATAATCCACAGCAACGCACTTTCTACTTGCATCCTTTTGATCCTGAAAAACCTACAAGTTCAGCAGTATTAGTGTTATAGCTGTGAAAATGCTGCTGATTAGAGGACAGCGAATTATTTATCGGACCAGAGACGCACAAACACGTAGAACGGCCTAGGGTTCTGATTGGTCCCGCTTCCCTATCTAACCCAGCCAGTTGAGTCAGGAACGCAAGGCACAGCCTCGGATATATGAATCATTATATTTCAAACACACTCTGCTTATATACTAATCAAGCAGACCACATCGTACCATAAAATAGAAAATAACATTGTACAATATTGACCAGTAGGAAAATGACACGTGAAATAAGCACTGACCAATAAGAGAATAATACCATCTTCAAGTCCAAGAATAGCATTAGACTTGATGATATGTTTCCCAAGGTAAGATTGCTCTCAATTCAGAAAACTTCGCACAGTGTTACTTTCTTAAAAGAAATTCACCACTGTGCTCTATGTGAAGCCCTAAAATCCGTCAGAAATTATAACGAAAAGGATATTGATATTATTTCTGAGAAATTTTACATATTGACCGGGATATATAATTTATCACCCCATATGACAGGCTTAACAATAGTCTGGGAAATGCCATTTTTGTAGACTTTGGTGCAGGACGACATGCAGATCTCAACACTATGACGCTTGTACACAAAAAAAAGACAGCACATCTCAATGCTAAAACTATACGAAGCAGTAAAAAGCCTTAAGTCTGCAACAAATTTAGAACCTGATGACCCCCTCCTATATTCCCTTGAAAATGAGATATGTGTCACTTTCATTCCTTGAGATAATTATGCAGTTGAATGCGAAAGCTGGGTATAGCAAAAGTTTCTAGTAATAAACTTTTCAACTTATGTTACAGTTATTCTATGAGTAAAGAAAAAACCATAAAAACGCCAACCCTATTTATGGACTCAAAATCTTACGTCTTACCCACAACATAATTATCTTAAACGTAAATGATGAATGACCCATTGTCTTTATTTCTGTGATCATTTCATCTAACGTCACGAATCACGTAACGTTGTCGTGCTCTAGCACTTTACTATATATACCAAGCATTTAATGTAATGTCCGACCGTGTGCTGTATGATAAACCATATGTCGTTGGAATTTGTTGAGACGAAGTTGACATGTAGCATGACCACGTCTTGACTATTATATCCGAGTTTCTGACTCTGGCTCGTTTGAAACATGAATATTCAATAAATTCGCAATTTTTGGGACAAATGACGGGAACCAAATAGTTAAGATTTATTTGCGTATTATGAGCTTATCAAACACTGTCCACCAATCAGTATAATGATAGATTTCACAACAAATCTTCAGCAGATAGGCCTCAGAAGTCAAAGGGCGAAACAACAGATCAAGCGTATAATAGAAGTCAAAAGATCAAAACATATCAAACTAGGTAAAAAGTATAATATCCCCAATTATACCTTCCAGTAAATTGAATACTTCGCGTTCCTCCTGTAATATGCATGACAAAGTTACTACGTCTCGATTATATTTCCATGTTAACCCTTATTGACCTACAATTATTTTTGTCCACTACACAAACTGTGAAATGCAAATCTCAGTTCATATATATTCAGTATGACATTTTATATCGTAGGAATTCAATTTCTTCTACTCTCACGGTATCACTTCACCTGTAATTGTTCCGACGCTTGTTCCGTATCAGATCAAGTAGATTTATCGCGCACCAAATGCTATCAATTTATTGCTGAGAGTCACCAGAGTATAGGTAACCTAAAAGGTAAATGAAGAATGAGGCATTAATAACTGATTTGTAAGTAACATCTGATAACCTCAGAAATTTCGAATTCGTTCTCATCATGTGCGAAATAAGAATCCATATATTTTTGAAGTGTAAAGTAAAATGGAACTATGATAATCAGTAGTGATTTGATAAAAAAATGTTCAACACATCCCACTAAAATGTCACATTGATAATTTCATGAATTTTGAGCAGTAGCTAGATGTTCATCGGTCTGTCCAGGTCAGAATAGCTCAAGAAATAATGTTTTGATATATAATAGACCATTTATTTCTATTCACATTTTCAGATTGACTGTTAGAAACTTTCGGTACATACCAGCTATTTATAAGTATGGGGTTAAACAGAAGTTAGAAATTATTTTTCTTTGAAGCAGATCAGTTTAACACAGTAGAATCTCGGGATTCAGATGTCTAACTGCTCAGTAATGACACGACGCAATAGGGCACCATTATTTGGAAAATGACCAAGGAGGGAGACCATGTAGATCTGTATAAACAATCTCGATGACAAGAAGCAGATATATTTGACTATCTAGAGAACTTTCTCCTCATGTGGGTTTTCTCGGAATATGGACACCATAGTGAACTGTAGACCATTAAAAAGGTAAAGGATCAAATTCAGAGTCAAAATATGAGTTAGGTTTTTACTCCAACGAGTTATCTGCAATGTATCTGGCGTACATGAACACACCTCGCAAACAATGCGATCCAGATGAGGGTGGAGAACCTTATCCAGTGAGTGAGATGGCGAAATGTCGAGTAAGATGCGGGAAGGAGCTTCCCAGATAAACTACAAATTGACCACAGTGTATCACACGTCTGGTGATGATTATGAGTTTATTGAAAACAGCAATGTTAGCATCTAATGAGCATTATCGGTTGTATGCCTTTTTGGAGAGTGGTTGTTCACCTATAAGGCTAAAATTTCCTGACGAACTTTGGAATATCAATCCACTGTAGACGAGTAGGGGATGTGAGTGGTTAACTTGCATGATCTCGCAATAATATCATGAGATCCTTATCTATCATACCTACCGAACCTGGTGGTCGGGCTATGCCGTTTCATAAGAAACTTAGAAAATAGATAGACCAGAAGCGGTGTGCATTAGGCGGTATCTGAATATCAAGTTTTTGCTAAGAAATTTTGTGATAGACAAAATGTATGAAAATCGAAATCAATCATTCGCCTTCCGCAGTCTGAATAGAATAAATGAAACATATGAGTTGGTGTTGTGGGAAATATCCTACTACCTTCTTTAAAAATTTTGGAACTCAAACTTACATTTGTCAAACACCGAGCAGAGTGTATTCATATCGACAAGGGAAAATGAGCGTAAAAAAGGCACATAAGTCTGAAAACATTGACACACTGGTAGCATAAAAATTGCAAGCTTGTGATTTGGTTTCTTCCTGGTCTCACAATCTGACCAGATAGGGTTGTTTCGCGGAGTAAAACATCTGAATTTTTAATTGCTATTACTGCCCGCTCCCCAGTGACCTCCATCATGTTTTCATGCCTTCTGTCATTGAGAAATTTCGCATCCCAATGTTGTGGAAGAATTGGTCTAACCTTTGTCAACCTGTTGTGTCTTCATGTTTAAGATTAGCCCTTTATAAAGTTCCGTACGGTTCCGAAACATCACTAGTAAACATAGTAGGTGTGACATGCCTGTTAAAATCGAGTGGTAGTGCTTTCACTACTGCGAGGAATCAAGCTCGTAGGTCTGTCACGCCGTGCTCGTGGAAGTCAGCTCCTG